TCCTTTCTTTTAAAAAATTGTATTATTTCAAATATTCCTCTTGAATGGCATTTTCTTCTAAAGGTGAAGAACATGGATACAGTCGACAGAGTCACATTAACTTTGTGAATAATAAGAAAGTCAGCCCGCTCCACTTGGCGGTTCAAAGTGGAGACTTGGAAATGATTAAAATGTGCCTGGACAATGGTGCACACATAGAACTGGTGGAGGTACTTGTTCACAGTCTAAATTATACTTTTATTTTAGGATTGTTATAAATATTTTCCAAAATGGTTTATAGTTCTGTTAAAGTCAATTTAGATTGAATACATATATAGCAGAAAATAAATATTATTTCCTTATATCCATTGCAGAGAATCCAGAAGAGTATGTCCCCAAATTTTTATTGGTAAATTGCAATATGTCATTAACATTTGCAAATACAGATACAATAAAGAGGATATCCAGTCTAACTGCCATTAAACATGTTAAGGCCTACCCTCAAAGATGATACTATGTTCCTATTGTCATGTTGGAACGTTAAAGTCCTGCCATGAGTGTCTTTGGTTAGAGTGCTATTCTGAAGAGTACTCTCTTTTAACCAGGGACCACCTAATTTCTAAGGATAAGTATGTGAAAAAGTGTTGACTGCATCTGGGTTCTGACTTTATGCCAGGCATGTTTGATTAAAAGATACTTAGGCCTTTTTTTTCTTCTGTCTCTTGGGTTTTGGGTGACAACACCCTCCACTCCCAACTACCTCAAAGACTTGTCCTCTCTGGTGGAAGAGGGGATTAGTGAGTAATCTTATGTAACTTCTGGACACTGCCCCTAAATCTCTTCAATATAGAAATGAGGAGTTACCACTGTTGGTATGGGGTTGGAAGTCACTCTGTATGCTGGGTGCTTACAACAATGGATACGATGAGGTCCTCATGCTCCTGGGAGAAAGAATGGCATTCAGACAATGATGACGGTAGTATATGCCAAGAACCGTCAGACTGCAAGGAAGGAAGATTGCTAGCTATGATTCTTATACTGATACTTTTCAGTAGATGCATCTGAGAATGATTTGTCTTCATAAATTTGACATTCCTTTATTTGGGGAGAAGAAACTCACAGCTGACTATATATTCTTGAATTAAGGTTTAAACACTGATTCTGGTATCAAAACTCTTTATAGAATGGGAAGTGCATGGCCCTTCATTTTGCTGCAACCCAAGGAGCCACTGAAATTGTTAAGTTGATGATATCATCTTATTCTGGTGACAGCAATATTGTTAATGCTCTTGATGGAAATTGTGAGACCCTGCTTCACAGGCAAGTTTCCTATTATCCTATGTATAGATGCCAACTAATTCTGTCAGAGAATCTATCCAGATTCTATCAGAGGCTCTGGGATGAACCTCAGGACTATTTAAAAGAAATTTTTTTTTTACTCTAATGTTTAGTTAATTTGGAAACACAATGACTTGAGTATAGTTAAAAGTATCTTTGGAACACAACTTCAATATGCCTATATGCCTAAGAAGAAATTATTTTAGGAAAACGAACCCCTATTAAGTTATTAAATATAATTAG